GCACTCGAGCTTTCAGTAATATCAATCATGTACCACCGCGCGTGCCTGCTTATGCCGAATTTAATGCTGCCGTTCGTGCTGTAGAGGCTGGCATTGTTGGTAACGAACCAGGCGACGCGGCGAAGGCAGTCTCAGTCATGATCGACTTGATCAATGGAACCGGCGTCGCCAGTGGCAGAGTGATGCCGCTGAGAGTACCATTAGGTAGCGATGGGTGGCAAAAGATTAGGGCTCAAGGGGAGAGTATAGTGAAGATATGTGACGAGTGGGAGGAAGTGGCTAAGAGCACCGACTTCAAGTTCAGTCAACAAGAATGAAAGCCTCGGATGTCAACAAATAGCGATGCCTCAAAAGTGCGGATTAGATGGGAGCTAGTATTTCTTTCTCAGCTAATTTCTATCAGCTTTTATTCAATATCACGATATGGTCAAGTAGAAGGAAGCCAAATTTGTAGCGTGCTTAATCACGCTCATCACCAAGACGTTTAGTCGAAAAGCTTCCTCATTCATTGAGTTGGAATAAGTAATGCGGTATTATCGACATGAAATCACTCTCATGCGAGACTAGATAAGAACGAATTTAGCACCGGAATGCATCGGCCTCGTCAAAAATGGCTATTATGCTCTCCAAACCACGTTTTGTATTCAACATATTGTCGAATAGTTAGGCTCGTATCTGATGCTTCCGTGAAACCAATATAGAGTTATCATATCACGCGGACTCCGATCTCATCCCCCCGTGTTGTAGCTACTTCTCCAATGAGCCAATCTCCGTACCATATTCATTTCTTCGTCGTAAACGACCGGCCTCATCATGCTCACTATCCCATTCGTCCACCTCGCCCAATGGAACTTTAACCAGCCGATGGGTGTTCGCACCTTGATTACCGACATTTAAAATCTCTGGACGCAGTTGGTAGCCTCCGGATTTTGGAAGAATATACATCCAGATAACGTAGTAAATTGCGCAAAGAACAATCCTAGGAACAGGATCAGCAAGTCGAGAGTATAGTAAGAAAGAGGTTCAGCTTACACGCCAATGCCGACCACAGCCTAGAACACTCGGAGTTAGTTACCGCCATCTAAACGTAATTTTTGTAAAGGTTTCAGAAGGTCTTAGCCACTACCTTGGCCCGTAAAGGGAAAATGGAAAGCTAGAGGTTGCCAGGCAACAAGAAAATGACTCTAAGAAATTACTCACATAAGTAGCATACCAAAAGCTTACTTCACCGGCGTACGGGCCTCCCTTTGGAGGAATCCAAGGCGTCGCAATCGTGTAAATCTGTACTAGCAAGAAGAAAACAAGACAAATATCCCAAGCCTTGAAAGCTGGCCTCTCGCGGTTTAAACGTTTATGCCTATATCGGATGATCCAAAGGCCAATTGCCATGGCGGTATAGAAGACTCCGTCCGGGTAGGTTTTAAGACTGACGACTATACGTTAAATGTATTAGGGAAAGACATAGAATCTAGACTCTGGTAAAAATTAATGGGATAACGACTTGCCAAATTGGAATGCATCACCCGCCGGAGGTGCAGCAATGAAGATAAGCGTCACTATCCATTTGATAAAATATGGCCCAATTGGTGTTCCAAAGGGCTTTGTGGAAACAAAGAACTCAGTGAACGGCAGAACCCCTTGCCTGATTCCCCAAATGTCATCACATTAGCAACTTGTCCATATGAAGACATACAGTATCCGGTCAGATTTTTACCTTCCAATCTCGCGAATGAGGCGAGACTGGCCAATAAGAACGGCCAGGAGGTTACCAAATGCGCTGATAAGGACCAATGCATTCAGGGCATCCTGAGCGCGACCTTGGCCAAATACAGCAGCAAAAAAGTCAGATGCCGCAGTAGCTTTCGACTGGGCAAATTCTTCTTTAGGAACTTTCCTTATGAGTGAGTAATTGGCTATATAAAAGTCGTAAAAGGGGAAAGATACATACCTGCTGAAAAGTACGCAATATTACAAAGAAGATACAGTATCGCCACAATGCTGACGGAAATTGTACCGTTACGCTTCAGCACGGGAATAGGGTTCTGAATTTCGTTAACCACTGAGAAAGCGTTGGCGTAACCACTATATGCGAAAATAATGTTGATTAATGCCACTGAAAGGTCATTGCCATTCCTAGTCGTGCCTTCGAACGCATTGCGGAAATTGGCACCGGGGTCTGCGACTCGAGAGACATGTCCCCCTAGAATGACGAAACCTGTGATGCTAATGCTTCAAGAGTCATAGATTTAGTTCTATGATAGTGTTACCATCAGTCGGAGGCTTGTACATACAATATAAGAGTGAGAATCTTAAGGATGCCGATGATATTCATTGCCCACTGTAACACCCCGAGTCAGTTATCGCCATTTCGAGCGTGATCTGTGAGGTTTTCAAAAGCTTCGAGCCTCTCTTGTCCCAAAAAGGAAATCGTGTGCTATGAAAATCGCTAACAAGAATAAATGGTGTCGAGAATTACTTACGAGGGAATATCTGTTGTGTGCTATGACGCCTGTGATCTGTGGTATGAGAGAATGCTTGTATTCTCGGTAGCATTAAGGCTCACATATAACAGCAAGGCTATAAGCCGCTATAGCAACACCTTTGACTTGCCAATCTGTTGGGGTTTTACTATTAGAAATCAGTAGTTAGGAGCTGTCGTGAGTTGGAAGAGTCCCGATATTAGAGGGTAGCAAGTTTCCAGTAGAGCCTGCTAAAAGACGAATTAAGAAATTTTGGAATGCGTACTGGGCCAATGCCCATAAGTAATTAGATAGCACTAGTGATAAAAGCTCGAGTGAGTTGCGACGATCTCTCAGCATTAAGGTGGGTGTAATACGTACCGATCGCGTTACTACTACTGAAAGAGAGAACGACAGAGTAAAACGCAAAAGAAATCGGGAAGAAATGTTTTGGTCTGGGATATGCTTGCTCGAGATAAACAACCTCAGCTCCAGATCGGTTTGGAAAGTAGCTCGCCAACTCGAGGTAGACCGCGAAACCAGCAATCGCCAGAAAAATACCAATCACCCAATAAATGAGCGCGAGGCCAATTGAACCCGTACTCCCCAGAATAGTGCCCGCTGTGTAAAAACGTAAGCTTTCACTCAGTGCAGCTTGTTAGTGGTAGGATTGGCTTTTAATATCAAAATACACGCACGAGTTGAAAAGATGCCTGTGCCGATCATCTGGTTTCTGTTTCCCCCCGTCAGTTATCGCCATTTGGAGCGTGATATGTGAAAGTTTCAGAAGTTCTGGACTCCCTTAAAAGCAAGTCCTGTATTTTGAAAGTTGACAAAACAAGACGAAAATAGTTCCGAAATTACACACATGTTCAGAAAGGTTACAGTCGCCCAGCCAACATGATATCCAAGGGGTGACCGATTTTCGACTGGTGCGCCAACAGCCTCCTGGCTGTAGCACTCGGAGTCAGTTATCACCATTTGGAGCGCGATCTAGGAAGGTTTCAGAAGTTTCTGGACACCATCTTGGCCCAATAAGGAAACCTCGTGTACTGAAAGCTGCCAAAACAGGAGAAAATGGTTCCGAGAATTCCTTACTAAGCCACCCCTGAGCCATTATGTGCTGTGGCTACCGTGTAAGTTAGGTCGCCGTCATGGATTATTTCTAAATCGCTAGAGCTGTCCCGGCCTGCAGATGAAGTGGCCGTAGGCCGTCCCCAAAACTTGGGAAAGCCCATTTTGAATAAGTGCTTTCGTTAAAGAACGCGTCCAGAGATGGGTCGAAATATGTTCGTGGGGTGTTCAGTCGAGAAGAATGCTTGCGATGCTGTAGGGATGTCGGCATCTTATACAAGCGAATCATATCGTACTAGGAAGGCCAGGAGGGTGGCGAAAGATTGATAGACGTCAGATAAGCTCTATCTAAATTGCGCGATTGCATGCTCGATGTAACTTGCCAAGGCCCATTGTACAGAGCTTCCGAATGTGATGTTGTATTCCATAAATTGTATAGAGCCAAGGAGCACGCAATAGGCGCCAATCTTTCGTTACAACAGAACCATGTCGCCAGGCGAAGCAGCCACGAAGAAAAAGAAGGCTCTAGCCATCTACATGGGTAGCCGGTCAAATCAATTTCCTAAGGTTAAAAGCACAATTGAATATGAGAAACGCAAAGATAGAGCGACATTGGGTAACCAATGATCTTATAATACACGGTTATCAAATTATAAGAATACCCCAAGTTACAAACGCTTGAGTGTGTTATCCGCGTATAACCTTACCCACCCCCTAACTGTGATATTTGATATCAATTATAAATTTCCTTGCACGTTTGAGTTTCACGTTCTAGTTTTATATTTACGCTCTTTTCAATAGTAATGGGCCTCTACTAACTCGACTTGAACTATTTAAGGGGTGAGGTTAAAGGTGCTCAGTAGATCCGCAATATTTTGGATTAATCCCAATAGCTAACAAGTCCTTTTTACGTATGAATATCCCTTGATACAGGTGCCAATATCTTCACTCTCAGGATTTCGTCGAGTCCAATGGTACACGGACCCAAGGGACTGAGACTAGGTCTGAGACCCTGGGATTAGTGAGAATCCACGCGAAACTAGGCTTTTGATGATGTTTGGCAACAGGTTAGCACCAGCAACGTATGAGGTACTTAGCTTACATGGCAGATATTTACCTATATTTCGCTGCGCGCACATATACCTTAGACTTTCCTTTTTAAGTAGATTATTTGCACCCAATACTAGGTAATCTGGTGCTTAGCCTTTATTGTTTCCGTCACAACAGGCATGAGTTTATTCACGTACATCATTATATCACCCGGCTTTAGATTATAGACCCTCCCTAGGTATACATACTATCTAACAACTAAGTCAAAAGCCTCAAAAAGATAAGTAAGTTCTTAGCAGTTACTACTAATATATAATGGCTCCTTTTGTTCCATGAGAACAACTTTAATATCCTATCAACTTATTTTATTGTAGCCTTTAGGGGAACTCCCCCTTCATACAATATACAAAGATATATTCTCCTGAGGGTGACTCGAAACATCCGACCTGTGGATATATAATGAAATTTCAATTACAGCCCAACGCGCTACCAACTGTGGCATCATGAGTTATCGATAACAGTACAGATTTTGTATTCAAATATTGAAGTGTTGGTATAGAAGCCTTAAGGACTGGAAGTTCTAGCATCTAGAATAGGAGCCCCCTATGCCACGTTTGCCCCACTAGGTGAACGGTTGATTTAATATAGAAATGGTGACAAACCATTGCAGAATAGCAAGCCTGCAATGGGGAGAACGATAAGAGATACGTGTGTCCAGTCATACGAGTAGAAAGTTTCGGCCACGTATTAGGGTTCAGGTTCGGCCGACTTTTCCGGCGCGGTGCGCCTCCGGACTACTCAATCCGTCATATCTCCTTTTCTACTCGGTGGAAGAAAAATGATTACCCGCAGCCAAGCGAGGGAATTGGAAGTCCGACGGGGGTGGCCCTCTCTCCCAGCCGAGATCCGCCTCATGATCCTCAATTTGGTGGCATCCGAGCGACACCGCGGCTGGGGCTCTCTCGCGTCCGTTTGCCGGCAATGGCAGTTCGTGCTAGAGGGGGCGAACTTCTCGAAGCTCAAGTTGAGCGGGTCGTCTTCCTGCCTGAACAAATTCGAACGCATCACGGGGGCCAACGACAGCAAGAGGCGACTGATACGCCACATCTGTCTCGAGGTCCAATTGCCCCGGTACACATTAGACTGTTGCTCCTCGAGAACGGGACACCCCCAGGAGCTGTCGCAGATAGGCTCTACCGTGGGGAAGTGGGTTTGGAGGCTCTTCTCCATCCTCGGTACCTGGAAGCCGACAGGCAACGGCCTGCTGCTGGAAATCAACGCGTACTCGCCGAGCGACCGCGAGCATTGGTTTAAGAATATGTGCTGGTCCTCCTCCGACTATGATTATAATGGTGGGAATGCGGAGCCGACGGAAGCGTGGAGAGCTGGACGGAGGTATCACGACCCGCAGCACGGATGGATCCATGGCCAACAAGTCACACAGCCGCCGAATGAAGCTCTGAAGAACATTTTCATGCCCATGTATCTCTACTTCCCTACAGAGCTGCCTCGCGTCGATGCGGTCACCTGCCTCGTTGTCCGTCGACAGCTCCGGCACTCGCTCTGTCCGCTGAGCCTGGGCGAGTTACTCGGGAGTCTCCGACGTCTAGAATCGATATCGTATGAGCCATGGGCACCATTGTACGACCCTGGTGGCAGATATTGGGATAAGCAAGGTTGGTGGTTTTTTACGTCTATTAATGAGATTTACCAGTACGAGGTTCTCTCCTTCGTTCAAGAGTAATTAAATGCACCCCTGATCACCACCCAAAGGCTGATACAGAGAGATGGATACAGTATTTATGGCTACGTTGCAAGATCATCCTCTTCCCGCTACTCTCGACAAGCTAACGATATTCGAGGACGATTACGCATTCTACGATCGATTTCCCAGTCCGCCGTTCCCCGCCCATTGGTTCACCGTTCAAAATTCCCACAAAGGGCTCGATGCCAAGTTCGCATCAAAGAGTCACGATTTACAATCTATCGCCATCTCCTTCATGGTAAACGCTGAGGACTTCTTTCGACATTGCCGACCGGAGTGGACCTGGCCGCGTCTGCAAACCCTAGCACTCACATCTCAGCTCCTGCAGCAGGAGAAGCGCAGTCTAATCGAGCCTCTGCTGTGCCGAGTGGGCATCTTAGTGCGAAACATGCCAGAGCTGCACACACTCGTGCTCTGGAACGGTGGAAAGGGCCACACATGTGCGTTCATATATCGATGGTCAGAGAGAAATGGCGCCTCGATTACCTGGCGTGGAACGTGGTATCTGGCATTGAGTCCTGATGTGATCAATTCGTGGCGACCCGTCGGCTCGGATTTACCTCATTCTGAGTTCTCTAAACTTCAGGTAAAATGGGAGCAGGTTCAGGGGGTTATCACGTCACACGGAGACGCAATCCATCATCTCGACCTGCCCTGTCGAGTGATTGAACCTGCGTCGCTTTGGCAAATTCGAAGGGAAGGATACAGCTTGCCGGAGTGATATACTGCTTGATGTACACAGGTACCTATTATTCGCGAGAAAGTCTTCCGGTCGTTGCATGCCCCTAATTGGGCTTAATCTTCCTCACTACATTTCCGTCTTTGTCCACAACCATTTTCAAACATCCTGTATTATCGCTACACGAAAAAAAGCTTCCTTATAGATCGACAGAGCCTCACGCGCCGCATGCCCCTCGAGAGGTTGAAGCGATGATATATGTAAATGAATCTACAAAAGGGGCGATGAATATTGCATTACAGTCCTTGTAACTGCGATCCCAAGGTGTAGCTAATGGGTTTGACATGTTCTCGAGTATCTCACTCCCATCTCCTACTATTCATTCATCAACACATACTTTGCCTTGTGCTCACATAAACCCTGCTCGCTAGTGGGAAGATAGCCTGACCATAACACTGGAATTTAAGGTTGTTGGGTGTTGTCTTGATGTTCCATTGGATGATAGCACCACATCTGCCAGCTGGGAAGTTTGTGGCGCCCCTCTCTGTGAACACGCGGACTTGGCAGAAGCAATTGTCGCCCTTGGCCTCAATTGAATCGAACCAAGCTTGTACGAGACGCTCATCTGACCTTGTCGGCATGCTTGGCAAGCGGCCTCAACGTGAACGATTATCCGGCGTTCCTTGCCAAGATTCCAATCACGTGGGAGCCCGTACGAGTGATCATACTTACTGTAGTGGTTGCTTCGAACTGCTTAACAACAACTATCGATGTTAGCTTACATGTCTTGTCTTATGTGAACAGGAAATTGCTACTATTACGGAACGGTATTCTGGGCAGACTCCTTACCCGGAGTAGGTCGGCCGGATCCGGTTGCGTGGAAAGAGAAATTTAACATTCCGCTGCAAGCAAGCCAAGGTCTACTAAATCCCTTGGACCATGCAAGACTGTGCCGCACTAGTAATCATAAAACCACATCACATCTTGTTTGCGAAGTTGCTCCAGAAAGAGGGATGTTTCTAGTGTAGTGTGTTGATGCTGCGCCGCGCCGGACCCTCGGGTTCAATTAGAAAGAAATGCCCGATCCGTGAAGAGGTGAGATTCCCGACCGCCTATCGTTGGGCCTTCCAAAAAAGATGTGGTCTACTACGTACATGCGGCGTAATCTTGTGGCGTTTCTGGTACACTACTGTACTGCGTACATAATGATCTGACTGAACTTCCGGTTTTATTCGATCACCAATCCAATCCAATGGCATGCGTTTGCATTAAATGGAGTAGATCTCAAGCATCCATTGATGTGTCGGTGAGTATCTGACTGGGACTCGATTTTGGACTAGGGGACAGCAGTCATAACTGAATCTGACTAATCGAATTGGATTCCCTATCCCTAACCTTAAATGTAAATCCTGGTGCCTGGCGGTTTGGCATGGGCTGTGCCCCATTACGAATGGCATTGAAGGGATTCTCTGTTACGTACGGGCTTGGTTTTTGGTAAGTATTACTTGAGCATCTGTACGCTGTGGCTATAGCTCATTGGTAACAAATGCAGTCTCTTGGGATTATATAGGTAGGTAGGTACCTAACTAGGATATTGGCAACGCTAATTAAATTATGGTAATCCCCGTCTCGTCCTACATATACTAGGTAGTATGTTTGACGGTTAACAATGGTTTCTTCGAAGAAACAGTTTATTGCAGGATTTACGAAATAGAAGGAGGCTAACTAAGGAAGTTCAAGGTTGTTATGCCATGTCTAAGATCCTGTTATAAGTGCAAAGGGAAACGGTGAAGCCGCTTGTTAGCCCAATCGAGTCAGTAACGACCTAGCGACTGATAAAGGTTATTATGCGGAGGTATTCGTTTTCGCCGAAGCTGCGTATGTCGTGTAGACTCTTAAGTAGTGCATCTTCCTTCAATACACGACCGAGGGGCCATGTGTTGGTGATCTACGTTATGCGGCCAGTTTCAATATCTCGTATTGGTTGGGAATTGCAGATGGCGTTAATCTGAATGAGTATTAGCTACTTGTTCGAGCCCTGCGAGTTGCATTGATGTACTTCGCATATTGAATCTTGGGACCAGGTTGGCTGTGGGGGGTATCAACCCGCAGGACTTCACTTCATCTTTCAGCTGGCTGACTTGATAAAAGATACTATAAAGAGCATATGATATCGATGTTGTATTGTACTTTTTATTTTATTTCGTTAGTGGTACTAATGACCTGTTCTATATATGCATGGAGTTAGTAAACAACAGCAAACGAATGATGTATCGATGTTGCAGAGGAAAACGAAAAGCGATCTGCAGATGTGAGCTAAGTGCCCGAGATTCATGCCTGGAAACTAAGGTTCATGTTGTTTAGTAAATATGATTCCCGGCAAACACTCCCCGGTTGACTGTTCTTGAGCATTGAGGTTAGCCAGCTGGTTCTAGTGCTCACTCAGAAGACAGTTCCATTACTGCGTGAACGTGGCACAGTCGAGTGTTTTGCAGTCAGCATCAACGTACGCTGCGGGTAAGCAGACTTTTTCTTAATTTCGCAATGATTAGAACGGCGCAGTAGAGAAGTTTTCAAATAGTATAGATGAGAGACTAATTAATGGCTATTTATAATACAACTATTGTCCTCCGTTGTCTGCTATTCCAATAGGTTGGGCATCTTTCGTCTCTATATCAACAGATTCGAAAGTACAACCATGAAGCTAGCAATATCGTGCACTCTTCTTTCAGTTGCGGTGGTTGTAGCATCTCCAGTATCCACGAGGGGTGCCGGTGACAGCTTCACTCTGCCAGCCGTTGATTATAATTATAAGGCTAGGGCTGCTTCTATTGAGGCGAAACGAAAAGGCTGGCTGTATGAAGAATACCCAATAGGTGGTGCTTTCTATCCTACCGGGACACTTGCAAACAAAACAATATCCCAACAACAAGCACAGTGGTTTCCTATCGTGATAGAGCAGTAAGCATTTCTAAGTTCTTTATTCCCCGGTTCGGCAAGAATTCTGTTCCTTATTTGCCATATGCTTATGCATGCCCCCCAAACATCCTATCCATGAGCCAAA